TCAGATCCTTTAAATAGCCCCTACCAGACACATTATTTATCGGGTCTTGTTGGGGTTTTCACTAGGGATTTCGCTAGGAGTTGATCCCTGAAGTGGAGGCTTCGATATGCTGACGTGGCAGTTCGGAGAGAATATGACTTGTGTCGGGCACTCGCGGAATCGGTATCCCTAGTTGATTCGTTAATAAGACGCATTTGAGAATATGTCTTACGGAGGATCCTCGAGTCTGGTTTCCATAATGGATCTCTCAGTTAAGACAGTAAGACAGTAAGACACATTTTTTTGAAAGTTCCCCAGAATCCGATGGACGATCTATATCCGCCACGATCCCGAGAATCTCAGGAAAGTTTCCAAAAGAATGCGTCTTACTGTCTTGTGTCTTGCGCGTTTCCGACTGGGGAATCCGCTAGGGTATGATACTACAAGACGCATTATTTATCGTGTCTTATGGGTCTTCGGCTAGGAATTTCTCCCGCAAGTGACTCTCACGAGAAGCTCCGAGATGCCGACGTGGCAGTTCGGAGAGAATGCGTCTTGGCCGATCACTCGCGGGATCGGTATCCCTAGTGGATTCGTCAATAAGACGCATAAAAAATGTGTCTTACGGAGGATCCCTGGTCGGTTGAAAATTGGGCCAAGTTGGTACAATATTCGTCGAGTTCATTTCAGGGAGAGTATGTTTTGGCTATCGGTACAGCACACTGTCCCCTAAAGCATCTCCCTACGCCTATCTCCTATCGCTAAGCGGAGCACGACACGCAAGACTCTTCCATGCTGCATACGGGCAGGTCCGCCTCCGCTGCCTTCTCCGCTTCTGCCCCGCCGCCCCTCTCGCTCTCGACCGTGAACTTGGTCGCCGTGGACGCGGGGCGGATCCTCAGGTAGTAGCAGACCGTCTTCAGGCCCTCCTTCCAGCCGTACAGGAGCATGTTGCTGAGCTTCTTCATGTTGGGCTCCTTCTGGTACAGGTTCAGGCTCGCGCTCTGGCACACGTACGGCGCCCGGTCCCGCATCATGGCGATGTAAGCCTTCATGGGCACCTCCCAGGTCGTCTTGTAGAGCGACCTGAGCTGGGCCGGGATGCGTTCGATGCCCTGGATGGAGCCCTCGTCGCGCACCAGGGCCTGCTTCAGCTCGGGGGTCCAGAGCCGGGCACGGGTCAGGTCGCGCAGCAGCCAGCGGTTGATCACCATGAAATCCCCCGATAGCGTCCTGCAACTGTACATGAAGGACGTGGGCAGCTCGAACGACTCCGTGTTCTGGAGGAGCTGCGACGTGCTCGCGGTGGGCATGAGCGCCATGAGGGTGCTGTTGCGCAGGCCGCTCTCCATCACCCTCGCCTTCAACCTCCCCCAGTCGTACTCGGGCCTGGTCGGCGCCGCGTCCCACAGGTCGAACTGGAGCGAGCCCTGGCTGGCGGGGGAGCCCGCGAACGACGAGTACGGCCCGTGCACCTCCGCCAGCTCGACGCTCGCCAGCACGGCGGCGTGGTACATGGTCTCGAAGATCCGTACGTTGACCTCCCTCGCGCCGGCGGACTCGAAGGGCAGCCGCAGCGCGTACAGCACGTCGCAGAAGCCCTGGACGCCGATGCCGATCGGACGGTGCCGCTTGCTGCTCGCCTCGCACTCGTGCGTCGGGTAGATGGTGGTGTCGATCACGGCGTCCAGGTTCCTCGCCACGGTCATCGTCACCGAGTGCAGCTCCTCGTAGTCCATGTACGTCTCGGACCCGGGCCCGTCCACGTACTTCACGAACCTGCTCAGGGCCACCGAGGCGAGCACGCAGACGGCCGTCTCGTCCTTGTCGGAGTACAGCGTCACCTCGTTGCACAGGTTCGAGCTCCTGATGGTGCCCAGGTTCTTCTGCCCGCTCTTGGCGTTCACGGAGTCCTTGGCGGAGATGTAGGGCGTCCCCGTCTCGATCATGGAGCGCAGTATGGCGTCCCACAGCTGCCGCGCCTTCACCGTGCGCCGCGCGATGCCCAGCCCCTCGTACTCCCGGTACAGCCTCACGAAGTCGTCGCCGCACGCGTCGGCGAGCCCGCGCGCGTCGTTGGGGCACATGAGGGACCAGTCCTCGTCGGCCAGCACCCGCCTGAAGAAGTCGTCGGGCACCCACAGCGCCGTGAAGAGGTCGCGCGCCCGCGCCTCCTCCACCCCCGCGTTCTTGCGGATGTCCAGGAACTCGAAGATGTCGGCGTGCCAGGGCTCCATGAACACGGCCACCGCGCCCTTGCGCACGCCCGCCTGATCCACGTGGCGGGCGGTCTCGTTGAGGACGCGGAGGAAGGGGACGAGGCCCTTGGACGTGCCCCCGCTGCCGTGGATGTAGCTGCCCCTGGAGCGCACCAGGGTGCAGTTCGTGCCGATGCCACCCGCCATCTTGCTGATCTGCGCCACGTGCTTCACCAGGTCGTACATGCCGTCGATGCTGTCCCGCTCGGGCGTGTCTATCTGGTTCAGCAGCATGCACGAGGACAGCTGGGGCATGCGGGTGCCTGCGTTGAACAGCGTGGGCGTCGCGTGCGTGTAGTAGCGCTGCGACATTAGCTCGTACGTCTCGAGCGTCCTCTTCACGTTCACCGCCTCCCCTCGCGAGCCGTTGATCCAGGCCGACACCCGCATGAGCATGTGCTGCGGGCGCTCCTTGACCTGGCCGCCCCGAGCCTTCAGCAGGTACATCTTCTCCAGGGTCTTGATGCCGAAGTAGTCGTAGTTGTAGTCCCGGGTGTAGTCGATCGCGCCCTCCAGCGCCTCCAGCGGGCCCCCCTCCACCGTCAACGCGGCGAAGAACGCCGGGTCGAGGCGGCCCTCCAGGGCCCTCACGCTCTCGCCGAACGTGGGCGGCGTCGTCTTGTGTAGGTTGCTCACCACGATGCGGGAAGCCAGGACGCCGTACTCGGGGTGCACGCTCTGCATCGCGGCTGCCTCCTCCGACGCCAGCTTGTCGAGCTCCACCGTGGTGATGCCGTCGTAGATGCCGGCGCACACCTTTTGGGCCACCTTGTGCGGGTTCACCCCCTTCAGGGCCGCGCCCGTGCAGAGGGGGTCATCGTCCACGACGCAGACGGGCGCCCCGTGGCGGGAAGGAGGGTACGGCTGGAAGGGATCCTCGGACAGCCGGATGAGCCTCTCCGAGATCTTGTCGAAGCTCATGAGCTCCCTGCCGCCGCTGCGCTTGATCACGAACATGTTCGCCGAGGGGTCGAACGCCGTCAACGCCGTGCCGTTCAGCCTGGAGAGATCCAAAGAATGAGACTCTTGCCTGCGCTTCCCGAACGATTTATACCCCCGGCTCAGGAACCGTCCCATGTAGGCTCCCCCATGACTGCTCCCGTCGTGTCCGCTCGCGACGCCCATGTCGGGCGGCCTAGCAGACCTCCCAGAAAATCTTGCCCGGACTCCCTACGCGCGCTCCTCCACGGGCCCGCCGTGCTCCGTCTTCATCTGCGCATGCATGCACTCGAACATCCGCGGCAGGTCCCACAACGGGAGGGACACCTTCAGGGGCACCTCCCGGGCGGCCGCCTCGTCGGCCAACCAACTCTCCTTGGTCGTCCACACGCCGTAGGTCGTCGCCACCTCGTACATCACGCTGTCGGGGGGCTTCTTCACGCGCACCTCCGCATCCGACATGACCGCATACTCCGGGCCCGCCCCAGACTCCGGGGCCGGCCTTCCCGCGGACACTGCGTCCTCGCGAACCTCCGGCACCGCCGCCCCCGCCTCTTCGCGAACTTCAGGCACCGCCGCCACAGTGATCTGCGTGGCCGCCTCCCCGTCCGGCCCCGGGAAGGTTTGCACGGACACCTGCATCCGATGCATCATCGGCGGCACCTCGTCGGGGTCACCCATATGCACCATCGCGCTCAGGGGCGATGCCTGCCCGCATCCCGACTGGTCCGCCGTCGTCTCCTCCGATGCGGCCTCGGCGGACGGAACCGGCACGACGATCACCACCGACCCTTCACCGGAAACGAGCGCCACATCCGCCACGGCCTCCACGGGGACCTCCCGTGCGACCTCTGCCGCCTCCGCCGAAGGACCCTGCCCGCCCGTCCCCGCTTCTGCGGGCACATCTCCCTCCTCAGCGGCCGCGTCACGCCCCGCCGTCTCCCCTTCGACGGACCCATCGGCCGCCTTCGTAGAGCCCCCATCGGTTCCATCGGCAACGGCGTCTCGCCCCGCCGTCTCCCCTTCGACTCGCTCGTCGGGTGCGTGGGCAGCCGCTTCCCGCTCCGCTGTCGGCTCCTTCGGTTCCGCCTCAGCGTATCGCACCGGAACGGCGATCACCACGGACAAGACCTCATCGTGGACGACCGCCACCGCCGCCACCCCCTCCGGACCGGCCACGGATTCCTCCTGCGCGACCCCCGTGACCTCCGGCGCGTGGTCCGGCTCATCCGTCTTCCCCTCGGCGGGTGCATCAGACGCATTCGCCTCGCCGGACGCCACCGTAGCAGCACCCTGCCCCATGGTCTTTCCTTCGACCGGCACGACGATCACCACGGACAAGGCTCCGTCGGAGACGACCGCCACACCCGCTACTCCCTGCGTTCCGGGCGAGTGGGGCTCCCGCGTCGCCTCCGACGCCTTCGCAGCATCCATCTTCCCTTCGACGCCCCCATCTGAGGCGTTCGCAGCGGCGTCCTGCGCACCTTGCTCCCCATCAGCGCCCCCATCTGCTGCGTTCGCAGCGGCGTCCTGCTCCGCCGTCTCGCCTTCAGCAACCCCGTCCGCGGCCTCAGCAGCGGAGTCCTGCGCGGCCGTCTCCCCTTCAGCGCCTCCAGCACCATCATCTACAGGCTCGGTAGCGGTCTCCTGCGTGACCGTCTCCGCCTCAGCGCCCCCAGCGCCCCCATCCGC